TCCGATAACGTTTTCCTGAGGTGTAGGACCACGTTTCCAGAATCTGCAAAATCGAGCAATATGCCCACTCTTGCCACAAACAAAACATGGTCTCTTATCTTGAATTTGTTGGTTTTATCCATGGTTATTTTCACCACTATTTTTCCTGGGAGGTTACCATTATTTTTCTTGAATTTCTTCTTCTTAGACTTCAAAAAAGTATTTTTGTGAGATTCAGGAGTAGCATTATTTGAAGTAATTAAATTTACCTTCGTTGTGATGTTGCTTCTTCAGATTGTAAAAGTGCATCTTGGCCTCTTGTCTCCTCTTCCGTACGGATTTAAATTATCAACATCTCAAGAGAGGTCTCCTTTTGTTTGTGGCGTATAATTTTTTGAAATTCCTTCCAAGAAGGTGGAGGTTTATCTACAATGCCACAAACAATAAGTTTATCTCCAATTTTGACCTCCTTGGGCCTAAGCTCTTATAAAGCCTTGAGCTGGTCTACCACTGATTTGTTGTCCACCATTTAAGAAAAACGAAAAAATCTACTAGCCTCATATTTTTTTGCTCCAACCTCTTCGGTATCATACTTACTCTGCAATGTTTTCCAAATTTTCTTTGCACTAGAGTAAGTTCTATCATAATAATCATAAAAATTATCAGATAGACAATTAAGAATATAATACCGACATTTATAAAAATCACCATGATACTTTTCCACTTTCTCTAGATGAGAAATATTTTCATTATCATTCATAGAGGTGATGTCAACTTTATTAGGATTATTCTCCGTTAACACATAAGAAACATTGAGAAGACTTAAGTAGAAAAGCATTTTACCCTTCCATCTCTTGAAATGGTTATAATTGAGCCAAAATGGCTTGTTAAGGTATCCCATCTCAACATCCGTGGTTTTTTCAATTGTAGCCATTATGATATCTCCTTAAAATTGTTAGTGAAAATTACAATATTACAAGATTACAATTGAAAATAAAATGAAGAAATAAAATCTCTTCAGGCTGAGGCGCGGATATCTCGCTCTCTTTAAGGAGATTCAAATCCAGTGCAGCAATTGTTTTCACTGGTCCAGCAGTAGTCATTCTTGACTTGTCCCCTCCAAGGTACAACAACTTAATCACAAAGTACAACTCAACAAACTCTGTACAAGAGTTGAGTCCAAAGCTCCACAAAAAGAACACCTCCCATCAACTAATAAAAACTCTCTTTTTGACTAAGTTTATGCACTCTATATTTTCTTATGTTCCCAAAATAAAAGAAGAGCACCACTATTTATAATTGAAGAAATCTTCCTAGCAATGAACAAGAAGATAATGGGGTAGTAAATAGTGAAGATAAATGGCCTAGAGGTTACATATGTTACAAAGAATAATGAGTGAAATAATGTGAGGGCATCCAATGCCACTAACGTGCAAAATGAAGAGTTGTGACATTTTTAAATGGTTGTGACTTTTCTGATAAAGCACAATAAACACATGTTCACAGTTCATACTTCATACTAACCTTTTTTGGCCAATGATAAGATTCCCGGAGAATAGTGAAGATTCCGAGCATTTGAAGGGAAAGTTCACCTTCCATGCAATCCCAATGAACACAAAATGAGCTGATTGAGTTCATGAGAGACCCAGCATGTAGATATATCAATTTGTTCACTATTTGCCAAGTCGTGAATGATTCTGAAAATTTGCACAACAGTTCACGAGTATCTTTATCATAAATTCATAAAAAGAAAAAATTATGAAGCACAGATCTGCAGTACAACAAAAACAAATGGACTATCCACTGGATCATCTTCTACGCCTTGATGGACCACCAGATTTTTCTAAAGTTAAATAATACGTATCAAAACCAACATTTGTGAAAGACTCCATAGCTAACGTTGGTTGTCACTTGTCAACATCCACAATCTCAAAATTCAGATTATGTGCAGTGCTGTAAGTGATGAGAAAAATTCGAAGCCGTGGAGTCCGATTACATCTCATCCTGCAGTAGTGATCATACGGCAAATGGAAGAGACCATACTAGAATGACTCCCTTGCATCACTTTCACCCAATCTTGCAGTGCCTTCACTGATTCAAAGAGGGTGTTGAACTGCACATCGAGCATGCTAACAGGACAGAGAGGCATGGAGTAGAACAATAATGTAACAAATTAAGCTTTGTATTGATCATCAAAGGAACTAATTACAAATAGATTGTTCACGCAATCAAAGAGCAAATGGAAAATAGATAAGGGAGATTCCAGACTATTATTATGAAATAGCTAATGAAAAGAAAATAACATAACTCTTACACCTTGTTTGGATGGTTGTAACCAGCTGTATTGTATTGTAATGTTAGTTTAAATGCCCTCCCAACCAATGTCTTACCACTCTCAATAAAACAGACCCAGAAGTATATTCTAAGTCATGATACATTGAACTCAAATGTTTATTGATGGAGGCAGCAGCACAATACAAGACTTTTAAAGAGGCAGATTGAGAAAAAGGAATCCAAATTTGAGCAAAGAGTAAACTATGTCTTTCAAGGATCTCATATAACTCGTCTTGTATATCGTCAAGTCTATCATTAACCAGCGGCTATAAAAATGATAAGATAAGCTATGAAATTAGTAGGACTGATCTCTTTGTTTTACTTTCATTTATTTTGTTTAGTTTTGCCAAAATCAAAAAGGCAACAACTCTAAAATTCCAAGAAGTATGTTTATTGGGTTAGGAATGTACAACTCAACTAATTCTGGAGCAGCGTTTTTGTCACGACCCGAGCCTACACCCTGGACGTGGCCGACACTCGAGAACCATTGTTGGTCCCCAAGCGAACCATCATCATGGCTGACTACAAGCGGAAGACTAACTCAAGCATACATAAGCATCAAATTGGAAGAAATGTTTAAAAACAGCTTACTAAATCTCAAAACTTTGTTGAATATACCGAGTATGAATCATAAGTTAAAATAAAACATTTGAAAACTGAAAGACTCTACAAAACTGTTTATCTATGAAGCCTCTACTATATATATATGAGTTCGGGACAAGACCCACGACTACTCAAAATGTTACTAATACTAACAACTCATAAAACTGGAGTCCTCCGAAAGCAAGGAGATCTTACTCAAAAGTTGGCGAGAAGACGAAGTGATCTCAACGAACTCTTGTTGAGGATCCTAAGAACCTATATCAGCATCATTAAAAGATGCAGGTCGAATGACATTAGTACATTGAATGTACGAGTATGTAATATAGCTGAATAACAAGCAACTGAATGAAAGGACTGCAATAGATATAGATATATACTCAACTGAATGCAAATAAATAAAGGGGTGAAATCATTAAAACTTTACAAAAATACCTACTCATCTATGAACTTAGCATATTAAGTGATATAATAAAAATACGCTTTTAACTCTATCTGGGAGATTCTCTAACCGACAACCATCACTATGAGCTACGTGATGATACAACGTCTCACCCACGCTGCCAGAACTGTCTTATAGCTTGTCGGGGTATAGAACACCTCAACTAAGTGGATCCGTTAAGCTCTGCCCAAAGGCACTAAGGATTCATCTAAAAAGTATGATTTTTTACCCATGTTGGCATATATGGTTTATGAGGATTTTGAGTTGTCTGAACTCATCCTCATATCGGTGCTCAATACTACTCCCAATAATATACTCATGCTCAAATGTATAAAACACTCTTTCTCTGTTTTGAGATAATTACTCAAAATAACCACTTAAAAAAGGTAATGCTCTGAAATAGATTCTCAAAATAGAGTTCATGCTGAAATATAGACATGAACGAATCAACTCAAGGATCTCAATAACAATATAGAAAACTCAATACTCAGAACTCAACGATACTTCTCATCTCAAGAATACTCAATTCATAGGTTCATGTTGAAATATAGACATGAACGAATCTACTCAAGAATATTAATGCATAACATATAGCAATTCAATAATTAGGAATATAATTTCAAAAAGAATCAGGAACTCAAGAACTCAAAATCAACTCTAGAAACTTAGATTACTCTTTTACTAATTTGAAAGTAGATGTAGGGCGTGAGGAGGAACTAGTCCAACACTATAATAGCCTTTCATACCTGGAAAGAACAAAGTCCTTAGCGAAATCGATGAATATCGAAGAACGATAGAAAATCCTAGTTTTTCTCCTCTTGAATCCTTGCTTTAAGTCTTTGAAGTGTGAACGTAAAATAATGTTTTAACATTGTTTAGACCTTACTTAGGTGAAAAAAAGTCGTGGGTTGGGCTTAGAAAGGGTGAGAAAAGACAAAACTACCCTTCTTAAAACTGGCGAAAAAACTTTCTATGGGTCATGGTTTTACCCATGAACTGTAGATCTCATCCGTGGATTTTATATTGAGTTTTTAAGGCTCAAAAGTCCATTTACGGGTCCAAACGACGGCTCGTAGGTCCACCTACGACCTGTCGGTTGGGTATGCAGGATTTGGGTCCCAAAAGTTGACCCTCAATATTTTGCCGACGACCTGCAGGACGGGTCGTCGTTCAACCTACGGCTCGTCGCTTGGGATCATCGTTCACAGACTCAAAAAACTCTCTAGTTTGACAGACTTTGGTAAAATGGTCATAACTTTTTACTCTGAACACGAAATGAGGCAAACTTGGTGGCGTTGGAAAGAGGACTCAAAGACCTTTAATTTGGTAGGTCATAGGCCACCTAATTCATTATGTGCTGAGAGATATGATCGTTTGAAGTTAACTAAAGTAGAATCTTATGTCAAAACTTAATCAGAAATGAAGATTTCAACTCAACTTTGTGCTAGGAGTTTCTAGTGACCTTAATTGATATCCAATATCATTCCCACACTAAAGAATTTACCTTTACGCATATAGTCAATTTAAGAATCACCCGATACGACCTTACATGTAAATGAAGAATAGTTCGAGTCTTGATTTATAAATTTTTGGGGTGTTACAATTTTGACATCCGCAAAAACCACAAGAAACTAACTTACGCCTAAAAAGGCTAAAACAAGCTCGGAACCTCCCAAAAATCAACCAAGACATCACCTAGGCCTAAAATCACCCCCGAAACCAACAGAACTCTCAGAATTTCGATCTGAGCATCCGAACCCCGAATATTGACCAAAGTCAACCCAAAGGCTAAAATTCCACAATTTCACAACTTAGGACCTCAAATCCTCAAAAAGACTCGGAATCAGAAACCAACAACTCTAGCAAGTCAGATTTCACATTTTGGGACTGATGGAATCGATGGAATTCCATTCCGACATTCGAAACTCCAAAAGACACCGAAAACCACTTTCTTAACAACTTAGCCTTTCAAACTCAAAACTTACCAAATTCTCAACTTTTCAAACTCATTCATAAAAGACTCGGGATCAATATTGAGAGGGCAAAATGATAATTTCACGGAACTTTCCAAAAATGACCGACCGGGTCATTATAATGATAAGGGAGAGGTTTGGGGAAGAAATATGTGATCATGTGAATACTAATTTGTGTATTGGTCTATCTTCTAATGAAAGGGACAAACCATGGTGGATGCCCAACAGTAAAGGAAACTTCACTGTTGGAAGTGCTTGGGAAATGTTGAGAAAAAGGAAGGACAACCAGCAGGATATGATGATCATTTGGGAAAAAGGAATTCCTTTAAGAGTTTCTTTTCTTCTATGGAGAATGTAGTTTAAAAGAATACCCCATTGGAGAGGTATTAATTAGGTGCAGAATTGTTGACTCTGTTACCTGTGTTTGTTGTAACAGAAACTTTTGATCATTTGTTTGTAGCATGCCCAGATGCCAATTTTCTATGGAGAACTCTATCAAGATCTGCAGGGATACAGGGACCTTATATACAGCTGAAACAAACACTTGAAAAATGGTGGGGGTGCTGATTGTAATGTTAAACTGAGACCTCTTTTTAATGCAGTTCCAATATTTATCATATGGCAGATTTGGAAAAGAAGAGATGTTCTCAGAAATGGTGAAAAATTATCCAGGTTTACTATGATTAGAGAAGTCAACAGGAATGTCCATTTATTTGTTGTAAATAGATATCCTTGCGAAAGGGCAATGCAAAGTCAAAATCCAACAATTGTGAAAACTCCATAGGCCATAGCTCCCGGTTGGTTGTCAACATCCTCAATCTCAAAATTCAGATTATGTGCGGTGGTCTAAGTGATGACAACCGAAGCACTAGACCGAATGTCGGAAAACATTTTTTTTGGTATTGTTTCTCCAGAAAGTTGCCAATCAAGAGGTGATTTCACGACATCAGCCAACTCGGTGTTACTATCATTGTAATCTGACTCTCACACAGAGGTGATAGTTGTAGGCTTGTAGCACCTGAAATATCTGGAGTATCCAAAGCCGTGGAGTCCGATTGCATCTCATCCTGCAGTAGTGATCATACGGCAAATGGAAGAGACCATACTAGAATGACTCCCTTGCATCACCTTCACCCAATCTTGCAGTGCGTTCACTGATTCAAAGAGGGTGTTGAACTGCGCATCGAGCATGCTAAAAGGACAGACAGGCATGGAGTAGGAACAATAATGTAACAAATTAAGCTTTGTATTGATCATCAAAGGAACTAATTACAAATAGATTGTTCATGCAATCAAAGAGCAAATGGAAAATAGATAAGGGAGATTCTAGACTGTTATTATAAAAATAGCTAATCAAAAGAAAATAACATAACTCTTACACCTTGTTTGGATGGTTGTTACCCGTTGTATTGTATTATACTGCTAGTTTAAATACAATGTGTGTTTTGATTGTTACTTAAATATTATTGTATCATATCGTTAGGTAACAACAAAAAGTCTCATTTTGTGTAATAACCGATTTGATATGATTGCGTCGTTACCTTGATATTTTCTTCTCATTTTATCTTTACTTATTATTTAATAATCATATTTTATCCTTTTACCTCTACCTTTTTATAGTAGCTCTACCATATATCCTACTTTTCTTGTAGTTTTATCATTCAAAGTGTTGGTGTGAGACATTATGTAACGACGAAATGAATACAATCTATCCAAAGGTTGTATTTATTAAAATAATATAGTACGATATGAAACAATATGTAACAATCATCCAATTAAAGTGTGCATAAGCCTCAATGTATTATTTTCCTCTTCTATATATAGGCATCTTTTAGGACTTCAAGCGTAATTTAACAATCCTCCATTCATAACAGCATTAATCACCTTGGTTCACTGAGCACAAAGGCATATCACAACACAGCAGGGAAGAGACAAACACCATGTCACCAAAAGATAACATTTCTGCAATGAAGATGAACCATAACAAAACTTACAGAAAATCCTTCATGTGTCAGCTTCAGGGGTAACCAGTAATCTCATAGTAGTCCTTCCAAACAATCTAAGTGAATTCATCCTATCCCTCAAATCTGAATCAGTAGTTATCAAAATCCAATCGTCACCTTCATCTTGATACTTGATTGAAAACCTTTCAAGTGATATCTTAAGCCTCTTTTCCACTTCCCCCTCCAATTCTACCCTCGTTGATGAAAGGGAGAGTTGAAACTTTATGATATCACCTCTATATGTAACCTTTACCGTCATCACACTATCACAAGGTTTTCCTGTTGCAGGAGATATTTTGTGACCCAAATAATTTGTGCCTTTTTCTTGGGAAAGAGCAGGACATTGTTGATCGACCACATATGGTTCAGCACCTTGAAAAGATATGCCTTGGCTAACATGGACATTAACCTTTCTAGTCTTGTAATTTGGCCATCTAGTGATTTCATATTCTTTACATATTCGTTTCAGTGTTGCTCGACTAACTGCAATAAAAGAAGTACACAAAAGGGATTTCAGTGAACCTATGCATAAATCATTTCGGTTAAAGGCATATGAGCGTACATATATATAATAACACAAAAGAACTACAAACCTCAACTGCGCTAAAGTTAGTGAACTTACCATGTAGATTTTTAGCAGCATCTTGAAGAGTCATGCCAAAATGCTGCTCCAGAATCTTGCGAGTTATCCCATAATCTTTTTCTATCCTTTGTATTGTGTTTTTCTTATGCGAATGGATTTTATTGTTGTTAGTCGTTGCATTTCCTGCAGAATTAATTTCTATATTTGGTTGCTCAAAGTGTGAATCAAGTTGCATTATTTCAGGTGTATCCTCAATGTGGTCATCATGTGCTACATCCAAGTTAACTTTTCCTCTGTTTGTCACAGCTTCCTCTATTGGATGAGGAAGTAACAGATCAACTTCCATTGTCCTTTCACAGTTGAGTGAGTCACGCTTGTCTGATGAACAAGAAGGAACCAGTAGTGCAGCAGCAGCAACAACATTATTTGACTGTTGGCAGAAAGAATCAATTTCAGTTGTTTCTCCTACATCCTGAAGAAATTGAACACTCAGCAGACGCTGGCCAATTTCTGTTGTTCCTCCTCCATCCTGAAGTGATTGAACACTCAGTAGAGATTGGCCAATTTCAAAGGAGTCAAATTCATCACTCGGGGAAACTTTAACAACTTCAACGAGCATCCTCTGCCCTAGTTCTTTTCCAGGAGCAACTATGAAACCTGGAAGTCGTTCTTTCGTTGTGGATAAAAGCATATTTATGTAAGTCCTTGTATCTCTAGCAGACATTTTGTTGGGTGGCAGAAAGTACTCAACTACGTAAACGCTATTGTTGGTGCATTTACTTTGCAAACAAATTGCAAGACTCTGAGTGAATCTAACTTTTCGTGCACTAGGCACCAAAGGGTACTCTTTGATGCTTAATAGAACAACATCTTTGCAAAAGCATGAACCTTGGGATGCAAATGCCCTCCCGACCAATGCCGTACCGCTCTCAATAAAACAGTCCTCAGAAACATGTTCAAACTCATGATACATTGAACTCGAACGCTCATAGATGGAGGCAGCAGCACGATACAAGACTTTTAAAGAGACAAATGGAGAATAAGGAATCCAAATTTGTGCAAAGGGTAAACTGTCTCTTTCAAGGATCTCATATAACCCGTTCTTTATTTCATCAAGTCTATCATCAACAGGCGGCTATAAAAATGATAAGCTATGGAATTAGTGGGACAGATATAGTAGTCAGTAGAGCAATGGAAATAAAAATGAGAACAGTCTCTAATCCCTTTTATTTATTTTGTTTGGTTTCACCAAAATCAAAAAGGCAACATCATACCTCTAAAAGTCCAAAAAGCATGTCCCTTGAATTGCAAACGCTATACAACTGAAATGAACAGATTTTCGACCCCTATGATGGAAAATTAAACAAAAGATTACAGACTTGTTCAAACAGTAAAAACGGAATATAAACAAAAGTGAATAACCAATGTGGTTGAGCATTATAAAAATAAAATAAAAGAATTGATGAGCAAATACCGTAATAAGATGGGAAAGATGGAGAGATGGTTGTGTAGATACAATCTCAAGTACACCACGGTACTGCTGGTCATAGTTGTTGACCACTGGAACTGCATAATAAGAATGAATTCCCAAGCGAATTGCAGTTTCGAGCAGTGGAAATTCTGCAGAGGAATAGCTTTGGACGTCGGGGTTATATTCTGGCAAGCATCTTGTGTAAACTCGTTCAATTGGACCAAATAGACTTTCGGTGTAGTCGTCAATTGGAATCAAAGTATCTAGACAGAGCTTCCTGTATGAAGAGAGCCTCTTATCGAGTTCGTTATAGAAAGCAAATGTTTGATCCGCAGTGGACAGGAAAGTAGATCCATTGACCTTGATGGGTGCCCAGAATTGAACCAGACAAATATTTGGAGTCGACATTTTCTCCATAACAGATTGGATCCTCCATTTCACAGTTGGAAACATGGAAACAACAGAAGCAGCAGCTGTATGAAGAAGATAAGATTCGAAAGATTTACTAGTGCTAAGCAAAAATTGGAAAATAAGTTTGATATTCACAAGAGACTCACACATGATAGGGTAAATGGTTCGCTGGTAACCCAATTCATCTTTGTATTTTCTGCTTGAAAATGCCCAGGCGTTGGACTCCAGTTGACACCAGTCCAGTTGACAAGGCATTTGGGAACATACATCTGAAGGAGAGTGCTCCATTTCCATAGAATAGAATGGAATTTTCAGTGCCTTTTGCCCCTCTGCTCTGCTCTGCTATTTTATATAGAACGCGACTTGCTTTAGTTTTTGTCTACACCAGTAGACGAAACTAATAATATTAGTTTATCGATTAAATAATACATCTACAAAATAATAATATTTCATGGTCCGGCCTATATTAATTTAGCGAGGTTTTATTGTATTTGTTCAATACTTAGTATGTCCAACAATAGTTGTCCATTATTGACTTGACACACCCTTAAGAAACAATAAATAATAGGGGTAATTTTACTATATTATCCTTCACTTTATTAAATTTAATTTTTTGAAAAATATGTTACATGATAAATAATATTTAATAGCAAGAGTAAAATAGACACAAAAGGTAAATTATCTCTTAATTTTTTAAATTGAACAAATATTATTAGATAACTATTTTTAGTATAACGAACAACTATTATCGGAGACGGAGAGTATGAAATCATCCATAATTCTCCGTTCTTGTGACAGTAATTAAATAGTATTGAAATACCATTACATTTAGACCCGGGTGCAAATGGATCAAGAAGCTCAAGAGGTTCAACAAGCTCCACATTGTACCCAACGTGGAAATTGTCAAAAGAAAAAAGGTAAGGCAAAAATTCGTGGACTTGGTACTATTTGTTTTTTTTTTATTATTGAATTTACGGAAAAGAGTAAAAAATGTTGTGAAATGAATAAAAATCTACTTTGTTTATAATGTGATTTTAAAATGTTTTTGTAGTCAATTTTTTTATTTTAAAATGTCCTTAATATTATTTAACATGTATTAATTATTTGTTTTGTTGTAAATTATATATATTTAAAATTAATACTGGTGAATGTCTAATTTATCATGCAAACTAATACACCGTTGTTTGTATCAAAAGCTCTCAAAAGAGATGCACCTAGAACTACATCGTCTAGACTAGTTCATTTTTATATGGTTGAACCTTCTAATTAAGTAAATAAAAAAAATTCGTTTCCGAAGCAAAAAAACTTATTCCACTTTCTATTCTGCATAAATTATACATAGATTCCCTCATAAGTTATATAAATATTAATTACGTTACGATTGCAAAAAACGCAACCAAACACTGTATAAAAAATAATACATGAATAACTTTTATACAACATTTAAAAACCGACCAACCAAATATTGTATAAAATTAATAAATAAATAACTTTTATCCTATTTACAAATCAAACATGATATAAAATAAATACATAAATAACCAAGTTATTCATGTATTAGGTTTAGACTTATCTAGCTATCAAACGAGCCTTGATACTTTGTGCATCTATTGTTGCACAACTGTTTTCTTTGGTAATGGATGTGAACAGCAGGAGACCAGCTTCTTTCTAGCAGAAATATTATTCAACTAATCTATGTTCTTCATTATTCAACTAATTTATGTTCTTCATTTCAATTTATGTGATATAGTTTGATTTGATATGGTGTTTAAAAGACTTATGAAACTTGTGATTTGAAATAAGTATAACTGTTTGTGTGACTACAAATCATGTATTTTAAGATCAAACTATTACTAAATAATGAGATGTGACATTCTTTTTTAAATCGATTAAAAAAGGAAATAAAATCATATACAAGTTGAAGTTTTATTCTTCTTCCTTATTAGCATCACGTTTCCCCTTGTTCTCTCGATCAGTTCTTTATTATTATTTTAATAATTTTCATTTTTTTTATTAACAAGTGAAAATTATTTGCATCGTCTTTGATTTAAAAATCATACGCCATCCTCAATTTTGAATCATAAACATTTTCTTCTTCATATGTATTTACACAAATTAAAATAATAGAGAGCGATAACTTCAAAAAAAAAAATTCAGCATAGGTAACATAAAAATAATGCCGTAATAAAAATAGAAGTATGATTATAAAAAAATTTAATAAATTATCTATTCGAATTATAAATAAATTTTAAACTATAATTTAGAATATTTCATTAATATAACATTTACTTGTCTTTTAACATATCAAGAAAAAATAATATATATTTTTTCATATTTTACTCTTTGGATTTTAATAATTTATCCTCAAATCATTTTACAAGACCTAACAATAAACATCAATTCATGGAAATAATGTGATAAAATATTATATATATAATATAAAAAGATAATGGAGGAAAATAGATATTGTTCAAAGTTGGAAAGAGAATTTGATTTTAAAGCAAAGTGGTAAACAATTTTTCACCCTTTACTAATTATTTAGTCTTCAAAAATCGGTAAACTTCCACCACAAATTCTAAGATTGTTCAAATTAGATACTCATTTTTTATTTGTGTAGGAATTGAACATACTTTGCTTTCATATATATAGGAGTAGTAGTGTGGTAGGTGGTAGTGTGGTAGATGAATAACTTATTTTAAAGATTTTATTATAATATCTTTTTACTAAGTGTCCTAATCTTGATATCTCTTTAATATTATTTTTTGGTAGTGTTAAATTCATGGTAATATGTAGTAATATTTATTGTAATATTCTTCCGATAGTTGTTTTAATCTGAATATTTCTTTAATATTATTTATGATATATTCTAGATATAACATATCTTGGGTTCTTTGATACATATATAAATTTTCCTCCATTAATTGTTCTAATAGTTTTATATCTTCCATAGCTTCTATCCAATATTGTAAATATTCGTAATTCATTTTAATCTGAATTTATTTCTAAATCGTACCATTCTATTCTCTCATTATCTAAATATAGATCTTGTAAATCTATTTCATACCATTCTTGATTTAATATATCTTCTAATTCGTAGTCATCAAATATTTTTTTCCCATATGATTCTTCTTAATTCAACTATCTCTATACCGTTAAGTATATATAAGATTAAAGTTTCATAGCTTTTTATCATTTCGTCATGCATATATGTAGTCATGTTCGTCTTCTATGCAGTTTTTATTTTCAAATTATTCCTTCCTATCACATTCATAATTGATTAAATTCATATTAGATCATTATGAACTAGATTATCTTTATCATGTTTTCCTGTCACTACTAGCATCGTACTTTAGCGGATACTTCCTTCTTATCAGCGCCTCAACTTTGTTTACTCCCCTAAACGGCTTTCCTCGCCTACCGGTTTCAACATTAGGATGGCATAGTATAGAAGTTTTCTCCCTGTTTCCAGTGTGCTAATAAACTAGAAATCATGATTCAAATAATTCTAATACATAATAACTAACATAAATTTATTCAATCATATATATGATATTCAGGAATATATGAAATTAGTTCCACATATTTTTTGAACAATATACCTTTGCCTCTTGCTTAGCCATGCTATCTGAAATATCTGATTGGATTTCAGATTTATCCATTAACTTTTAAGTAATTAGTATCTAAAAAGAGAGAGTGTTTATAAGAAAGCCTTTATTATGTTTGGCAATGCCTGCCTTTATATTTACAT